ATTTTGCCCAAACATAAAGAAAAGAATAAACAACTTATCAATATAAAAAAATAATATGCAAGGTGCATTAGTTTTTTTGTACCAATATTCCTCTTTTTTTTTACTTTAAAATAATTGAAAATTTCTGTTTTACAATATAAAAAAGATCGATGTTCAATTTTGTCACTTTGTGATAAATAGGATGTCCATTATGCTATGTAACGCCCAGTGTTACTAATATATATATAATTCGATACATGTGACTTGAGGATAGTGAACATTCTTGTCGATCACATTTGATTGGTTAAAAATTGTCGCTCCTAAAAATCATACACGTATGTATTTAATTTATGAATTACAATTTAGAATTTATTTTTACAATGAACAATAGAATTTTATTGATAATAATATTATTACCCATTAGTTGATATTGATGTTGATATTGATTTGTTTTTCTTTGATGGTTGTATAACAACAATTCATCATTTAACAGTAAACAAATCAATCATTGAATATGCAAGTTAACATGGAAAAGAATATTCACCTAAATGTTAAAATAATGTTTCAATTTGTTGGATTTTTATTTTTAATGTTTATTTATACATATAAAAAATTAAAATAAATAATACCTAATAATAATTAACTTGACAAATAAACCATTGAATATGCAAGTTAACATGGAAAAGAATATATGATAAAATATTTTCACCTAAATGTTAAAAAAAATTACGTTTCAATTGGGGCATACTGCAACAAAACCAGACAAAATGAACATTTTATCATGTGTCATAAATAAGAGGTTGGTGTGGCTGAAGATTAGCTAGTTTGACTAATGACATTTTGATTGTTCATTAAGAGTTTGGACCTCTAATATTCCAAAATAGGCTGGACTATAAATAAAAATATCAAAAGTTAAGAAGCAGGCACTGAAAAAATATGTTTATACTTACAAATCAAATGTAACTTACTAGAGGTATGAGGTATTTTTTCACAGTATTTGGATAATATTACACCAACATCTCTCCCACTTGACAAAATCCAACTTGTAATGGGATTAGTCAATGTCTAAATTAAAAGAAAGGATGAATATTATGTAAACACAAAAAATAAGAGATAATAACATAGATTTTAATATACAAACCTTTTCTATTGGGATTTCTTCTTCACAGCACTCTTCATAATCCTGGAATACCTTATGATCATTGGCATCACTATCTGTTAATATGTTTGGATTCATACTAAATACTTTGTTGTCATGAAAATCCACTTCATCATTTGTATCTATCTCTAATTTGTCATCAAAGGTCAGTTTGTCTACATCCTGTTCCTTTTGCATTTGTTTTGTCACCTTTTTTTCCTCAAAGTCATGCATTTCCTTTCTCTTTGTTGTTAGTAAATTAATCTTCTCTTCTAACATATTAGTCCTTATTTGGCAACCATTTTGTTCCTAAATGATTGAAATAAAAAGTTAACAACAATAACTTCACTAAAGCTTATAAAATGTAGAGAATTACTTTTTTTCCTATAATATAATTTGTGCTGTATTAGTAGTGA